AAAAAAAAAAAAGATTGGTGCCGACGGGGATTCGAACCATGTACGTTGCGCTCTTCAGACTGATACTTTACCTATTGACCCAATGACTTATCTTAATTCTAGAGTACCTTTTAAACTACTTTAAGTAATTTAAATTTTATACATGACTTATCCTTATAGTTAACGGAGTTCTATACTTAATTTATTAATTAATTATTAATAATTAATTATACACCGTAAAAAATTTCGCGTCATAGCGTTAAACAATTTTGTGTTAAAAATTTTTATTTATATATTTGAAAACTTTAGAAGTAATTGTTTAAAAACTTATCGTTTAGATCCTTTACACTACTATACAGTACCAGGGCTAGCTTTTGATGCAATGTTAAAGTATACTGGTGTTGAGTTGGAATTATTAACTGATTCGGAAATGATGCTATTCATTGAAAAAGGTGTCAGAGGTGGTGTTTCTCAGTGTACAAATAGATATGCATTAGCAAATAATAGATATATGGGTGATAATTTTGATTCAAATAAACCAGAATCCTATTTAATGTATTTTGATGTTAATAATTTGTATGGTGCATCTATGAGTATGCCTTTACCAACAGGCTCATTTGGGTTGAATTAAATTTCGATATAAATCAGGAAATTAATAAATTTTTAAATAATACCGAAGGTTTTGGCTATATACTTGAAATTGATCTAAAATATCCGGAGGAATTATATGACCTACATAAAGATTTACCTTTATGTCCTGAACACTTTTTACCTCCAGACAGCAAACATACAAAATTAGCAACTACTTTGTATGATAAAAAAGAGTATGTAATACACTATAGAAATTTAAAACAATGTTTAGACTTGGGATTAGAATTAACAAAAGTACACCGAATTTTAAAATTTAGAGAGTCACCATGGTTAAAACCATATATAGATAAAAATACTGATTGTAGAAAGGCTGCAAAAAATGAATTTGAAGAAGATTTTTATAAATTAATGAATAATGCAGTTTTTGGTAAGACTATGGAAAATGTTAGAAAATATAAAGATGTTAGAATAGTTACAAGATGGTCTGGTAGATATGGTGCTTCTGATATGATTTGTAAACCAAATTTCCATAGTCTTACAGTTTTTGATAAAAATATGATTATTATTGAAATGAAATGTACTGAAGTTAATTTTAATAAACCAATCTATGCTGGTTTTTGTATTTCAGATATGTCAAAAACTTATATATACGACTTTCATTATAATTATGTAAAGAAAAATTTTAAAAATGACGATTCTAAATTAATGTATACAGATACAGATAGTATAATTTATCACTTTACTGTACCTAATATATATGAAATCATCAAACATGATATTGCAAAGTTTGATACCTCTGACTATCCACCAAATAATATTTACAATATTCCGTTAGTAAATAAAAAAGTCTTAGGATTAATGAAAGATGAAAATAATGGTAAAATTATGTCGGAATTTGTTGGATTAAGAGTAAAACTTTACGCTTTTCAAATATATAAATCTGGAGAAGATCAAATTCAAGCATATGAGTCTGATGAAGAAATAAAAGATGATACGGTTAAAATGCGAGCAAAAGGTGTAAAAAAATCGACTTTGCGAACTATAACGTTTGATAATTATAAACAATGCCTATTCGATAATATCCCGAGAAAAAATATTTATATATAATTATATATATTTATATATAAATTGGTTATATATGATTATATATGAAAAATGGCCAAATATAATCATATCTAATTATATATAA